AGGTTAGGGAAAGAGTGTGAAAATGACGCCAGCACTGATAATTACTTTCCCAGTTATATTACTCCTTCGTTCGTTCGTTCGTTCGTTCCTTCCTTCCTTCCTTCCTGCCTTCCTTCCTGCCTTCCTGCCTGCCTTCCTGCCTGCCTTCCTGCCTGCCTTCCTGCCTGCCTTCCTGCCTGCCTTCCTGCCTGCCTTCCTGCCTGCCTTCCTGCCTGCCTTCCTGCCTGCCTTCCTGCCTGCCTTCCTGCCTGCCTTCCTGCCTGCCTTCCTGCCTGCCTTCCTGCCTGCCTTCCTGCCTGCCTTCCTGCCTGCCTTCCTGCCTGCCTTCCTGCCTTCCTTCCTGCCTTCCTTCCTGCCTTCCTGCCTGCCTTCCTGCCCTCCTTCCTGCCCTCCTTCCTCTTACATCCTTTCTGAGCCCTCTGTTTTCATGTACAAGAGCTATTGATGGATTTTTTTTTTCTTCCAATCATGTCTAATACTTTTGAATAGTGTGCTCTGTAATGACTGCAAACGTACTGGGGTATATTTTTCCATTTTGGGATCCACAACTTTGCTGAAAAATGAGCTCCACAGACTAAATATGAACCATCTGGGGGAAACATGACACCCCCCCCACCAAAAGGAAAAAAAAAAACCAAACTAAACTAACAACCATCTTTTTGGTTATTTAAAGTTTTCTGCTTTATAACTTCATGTGCTTCCCTGTCATTTTTGGATTATCAAAACGAAGACATAATAATTTCTTATCTGCATTCTTTATATTATCACAGTTTTATAAACCTTTATCATATTCTTCTTCAGCCATCTGTTTTTTCAAGCTGAAGAGTCTTAGCCTATTTAATCTCTTCATAGAGAAGCTGTTCCATATTTCTGCTCATGCTGGTTGCCTTTGTATCTTTGCTATTTTCTTTTAGAGATGGTAAGACTAGAAATGCATAGCATTCAAAATTTGTGGAGGCACAATGGACTTACACTCAGCAGAATGCTGTCTTCTGTTTTTCTTTCTATCCCTTCCACAGTGATTCCTAGCATCTTATCTCCCTTTTTTACTGCAGCTGTGATTTCTACAGACAGCCATTCCATTATTTTTTTTTCTCCCTTATAACTGAGAAATAATTCTTGCAAATTATTTGCTTTTGTCTCTCTTTGAAAGTATTTTTAGGAATTTTGCCAATACTTGTCTGGGCACTTCTCAGGCCTAGGAACTTGATGACTATTGGGAAACATCTGAAGTTTAGTTGTGAATGGATGTGGAGTCATGCTTACATCGCCACACAAACTTTCCTGAAAATATGCTAAAGGCATCTGGGAACAAAATTAACTGAAGCAGGCTGCCAGTTAATGTAACCTCTCAAGAGCAGAAGTAAAGATACTAGGAAAGACTGTTTATCTTTGAAGACATTGGACAATAAGACTGCTCCTGCTAATCTGGGTAGATGAGCTTGAGTATGTTGAAGGAAAAGTCCTGTTAGAAAAAGTGATGTGACTTAATATCCAGGATTTAAGGGCTCATCAGCAAAACCCAAAACTGTGTGATCATTTGTACAGATAAGACTGTTAGCACTTAAAATAATTACCAGTTACCAGTGGGGTTTTTTGGTACCAGGCAGGCAATGTTGAAGAAAATAAAGTGTGTCTATTGTGCAGCGATTAGTGTACCACTTTCTCAATTGATACTTTGCTGTTCCTTCTTGAGAATTCAATACAGAAAGAAATTCTAACAAGTAATTGGAAACAAAGATTACAGGGGTATTTTTACTCTTCTCTGTTCAAATGTGAACATTTCCTGCATTTTTGGAATAATGATTCTTAGAAGATCTATGGAAAATTGAGTGTATACATCTTAATCAAGATATTTTGATCTACTTCTTCATTTTATTAATCTATTAAGGAAAGGCAATATTTACTTACATAACTCAGGAGTATTATGAGTGATAATTAATGCTTACAAGAAGTAGTGTAATGGGAATGAAGTGCTATGCACTTCCAAAGGATTATTAATTTTACTATCATTGTTTTTATTGTACTGAGCTATTGGAAATTACTAAAAGACAGGCAATTACCATGGATTTTCTTGAGATGACTTTGTAGGGTATTAAAAGAAGAGTGTTACACTGCAGAAAACTCATAATGAAGTTGTAAAAGTGAAGCTACATCCTATGCCTTAAAAGGGTATCATCCACCCCTTAACTAAAAAGTAAAAATAATTAATAAATACTACATGATAAAATGAGCTGATTTGTCTTTTCACTTGAAGTTGTAGTGACATTTACTGCCTGCTTGAGAAGCTTCCCCCCCTCTGCCTCAATGATTTTTGAGTCATACGCCAGAAATGTTTGTAATTTTGGGAAAATGTTATGGCCAATGGGCAACTGGGTTTCTGCATAGTAACAAGGGCCCATTTGCCAGCTGAGCTGCTGAATTATAGCTGCCTCCACTGAGAATGTGAGCCCACGGCAGCTTCTGTGGTCCAGCAGATGATGAGCCTCTGCTAAGCTGTAGTGACCTGATAGCAAGAGTGTGGCCAACAGCAGCAATAGATCCAGCCAGATCCTGATCCAGCCAACAGAGCTGGATCAGGAGATGCCTGTCCCTGGTGCTTCCAGATCCAGGCTCTTGTCCTGCTCTATAGGGCATCTCCTTCAGTTAAATCAATCTGGCTACATGACTGCATTCTAAAGTACACTGCGAGATGGATCCCATTAAAAATGGCTCTAAAGCCATCATTTTGAGAAAGAATTATTCTTAAAAAATGAGTCATTTACAAAGCTGGTTTAGAATATGGCTGTACCTCAAGACTGTCCCCATGAAGATTTAAAATAGCTTTGTTAATATCCACTTTACATGGCTATTTGGATTAATATTCTTGAGTTTCACATGAACACAAGTTGAATTATCCTGTGAAGAAAATGAATTTATTTCCACTGGCAGTAAGGAATAATTTCTTATGCAGAATTTCTGCCTCTTACTTGACCAGATTTCTAGACATTCCAATTTAGGTTCTTGATGAGTTGAGAATAAAAGATTTCCCTATTCTAATCTGAAAGATTAATTACAGAACAAAGACTGTCTATGAAGAAAAATGTTATTCCTCTCCCTTTACCCATGCTGAGAGAAAGTAATTAGTTAGGGGTCTAATCAAACTCCAAATAGGATTTGTACAGTAGGTTAAACCACCTCTGCCCTTGCTGGCACCTTGCTGTTCTGGTTGCTGGAAAGAGCTCTGGTTTAAATGCAGCAATCCAGGAACCTAACTAGATGCTTTGCCTGCAATCTGAAGTATTGGAAAGCATGATCCAGAGGGACATGGGACTTTACAGTAGCTGACAAAAGCTTGCAAAAGCTGCAAGTGTAGCAGTGCCATACAGGAAATGCCTTGCTGTGGACTCAGCAAGGTGGTGACTCTCACAAAGGGCTCAACCAACCCAAGTTTTTATTACTTCCTTTGGGATATGCTTTGTTGGGATATCAAGCCAATCCAAATGATGTGGTATCTTAGTGTTGACAGAAAGCAGCTTGGGAGAAAAGGATCTGGGGTCTTGGTGGATACCAGGCTGAACATGAGCCAACAATATGCCTTTGACAAGGAAGGAGAATATTATCCTGGGCTGCACTAGGCAAAGTGTTGCCTGCAGCTTGAGAGAGACATCCTCCCTCTTTATTCAGTGCTGGTGAGGCCACACCTGGAGCACTGTCCAGTTCTGTGTTCCTCGGTACAAGAGAGACATAGGAGAGAGTCCAACAGAGGGCTGCAAAGATGATGAAGAGGCTGGAGCACCTCTCCTGTAAGGAAAGGCTGAGTGAGCTGGGACTGTTAAGCCTGGAAAAGAGAAGGCTCAGAAGGATCTCATCGGGGTATACAGAAAACTGAAGGGAGAGTGCAGAGGATGAAGCCAGCCTCTTCTCAGCAGTGCCACTGACAGAGTCAGAGGTATTGGTTCCCTCCAAACACCAGGAAACGCCTTTTCCCTCTGAGAGTAATTGAGCACTGGCACAGGCTGCCCAGAGAGGTTGGAAGCATCCATAAAGACTATCAAGTCCAACTGTGCTCCTCACAGGAATACCTAAAACTAAACCATATAACAAAGAGCGTAATTGAGATGCTCATTGAACTCTGACAGGGTTGGTCCTGTTACCATTTCTGTGGGGAGCCTGTTCAGTGACTGATCACCCTCTCAGAGTTTTTTCCTAGTATCAAATCTGAACTTCTGCTCCCACAGCTTCATTCTGATTTGTCATGTCCTATCAGTGGTCAGCAGAGAGAGGAGCTTCCATCCTTGGAGATACTCAAAATCTATCCAGATACAGTCCCGGGTAACCTGGTTTAGGTGGCTATGATTGAGCACAGAGGTTGGACCAGATACCTCCAGAGCTTCCTTCCAGCTCCAACTGTTCTGTGATTCTATGACTTACAGTGCTGTTGACTGACCATCCTACAGGTTCATACTAAAAAATCTCTCTAGAACAGGATGGATGTATTTAATATCATGTAAAGCTGTGCCACGTCTGTTGGCCCATTTTTGTTGTTTGACTCAGCTCCCTCATGGCTAATTCTTTGGGGAGTTTGCCCGTCAAAGTGTCCAACCAAATCCTTACCCCAACACACTTCGCGCAACAAGCCACCTTTGCCCTGTGAGGATCCTCACCTCTCAGCGAGGCGCCATGCGGGCACGCGCTCACCCCGCCACGCGGAGGCCTCGCGCCCTTCCCTGAGGGAAGAGGCCACCAGCTGGAGACGCGGGGATCGCGGTTCGATGCCGCGCCGGACTGGCAGACCCCGCCGGACCAGACTCCGGGGGCAGGCGGCTTCGAGATCTGGGGGCTTCGGGAGCAGTGGGCTCCCGTCTCCCGCCCCCACTGCCACCACCCCCGGCGGGGCGGGGCCGGGCCCGCCCGACGCGTTTCGAACGGGCCAACGGGCGGCGCAGGGGGGGGCGGGCACGCGCAAGCCCCGCCCGGGAGTTTAAAGCGCCATTTTGTGCTGGGCGCAGGACATCGATCGCTGCTCACACCCGGCGGGCGCCCAGCGGCGGCCGGAACCTGCCTTCGGCACTGCCTCCGCTCTGCCTTCTCGGCGTCTGTCCCGCCACGCCGTCCCGCTGCCTCCATGACCCGCAGTAGGAAGCAGGCGGCGCTGGAGAGAGGAGCCGGGAAGATGAACACAGAAGCGGGGAGCGCCGCGGCGGCGGCGGCCGTGGGAGCCCGGGCTGCGACGGCGGCGGCAGCAGGGACAGGGGCAGCCGGCGGCGAACCGGCAGCCGCCGCCTGGGGGCTGGAGGGGGAGGCGGAGAAAGTTGTGTACTCGCGCTCGCAGGTCTCCTTCGCCGGTACCAAGGCGCTGGGCGACGCCCTCAAGCTCTTCATGCCCAAGTCCACGGAGTTCATGAGCTCCGACTCGGAGCTGTGGAACTTCCTCTGCAGCCTCAAGCACGAGTTCTCCCCGGTCATCCTCCGCAGTAAGGACGTTTACGGATACTCCTCCTGCCGCGCCGTCGTCCCCGACCCGCCGCCGCCCTCGGAGCGGCCTCGCCGCCGCGCCGGCAAGCGGCGCCTCCCGGCCGCCGACGCCAAGCGCCGGGCCGGGGCGGCGGGCGGCAGCGCCAAGCGGCGGCGGCGGCGGCGGCGCCGCAGGAGGGAACGGGGCAGGCAGCGGCCCGCGGCCGGTGGCCCCCGCACCCAGGAGAAGGAGGAGGCGGCGGCGGAGGCGCCTCCGCCGCCGGGCGAGCAGGCGGACAGCGAGCAGGGCAGCCCGGCGGCGGCCGCCTGGGAGCCGTTCGGCGGCAAGTCGCTGGAGGAGATCTGGAAGGCGGCAACCCCCCGCCTCACCACGTTCCCCACCATCCGTGTGCGGGGCAGCATGTGGAACCGGCGGAGCCTGGCGGCGGCGCGGCGGCGGGCGCAGCGGATCCTCGGCGTGGACCTCTCCCCCGTGGTGCGGGTGCGCCGCTTCCCCGTAGCACCGTCCTGAGCCTGCGGGGGCTCCGCTCCCCGCGCCTCACCTTGGCCGCGGTGCGGACAAAGAGACCGGTATCAGTCACCTGTTTACATTGCTTTTGTCTGGATCGTGTTCTGCTGCTGCACTTTACGGCCCGCTCGGGCGGCGCCGGGCCTCCCGCCGCAAGGGGGGCGGCCTGCCGGGCCCCGGCTTCGCCCCGGGATGGGACCGCCTGGCAGGTATCACGCGTGGGGACCAAGTTCCACTTCCACTTTTTTTTCTCTCTCCCATTGGGCTACCTCACTGGTCCAGAAGTCCACCCAAGAAGTTATTTTCCAAAGGAACTTATTTTCATGCTTGTATAATAAAGCACCATCTGATTCTTGCTATTTTTTTTTTCCCTTTCCCCCCTTCCCCTTTTCTGATGGGTTATGTATGCTTTGTGGTGTTGCACTAGTATGTGCTCAGGGTATTTTGAATCCCAAGCATTCCCAAGTTTCAGTTTACTCTGATAAAGGATGCGTAAAGAATGGAGGTTCAGGACTTGTTGGCTGTTCTTGATGGTGCAAAAACTTTTTAAATTTTAATTTCATGAGCTTAGTGATTATATAAAGATGTATCGCGCAGTACAACAGTTGTTACACTTTTGTATCTAAAGTCATTTTTAAAGTTTTCTAGTTGAACTAAGTATTTGTTTCTATGGAGCACATAAAGATAGAATCATCCTGATATTTTATAATCCTGTTTACTTTAGGGAAGCTCATTTAGTCAACCTAAGTGAACTTAATAAAAGTCAAAGAACAAATGGTGTTTCAGTTCAATGAAACTGCTCAGGCATTGGTTCCTGATGAAGTACACCACCACTGAGGCACTCTATGTCAGTGAGCTCTGGCTTTGAGAAGAATGTAACTGCTTATCAAAGCAGTGTATAGGTGTCTGGAGGTGAACTATGATCCAGTGTTGGTGCTGACAGCTGAAGTCAGTAGCTTGCGTGACACAAATATCACACTGAAGTGCCTCTCTGCTAAAAGAGTAAGACTTGATATCTGGTCACTCGATAACAAACTAGTACTCATTGTCCTGTGGTTGTGAGATGGTTAATAATGGATAATCGTGTTTAATATAATTACTTGCACATAATTACTTTTTTAAACCTTTCATGGGTTCCACAGTAGACTGATGAAAAATTCATGATGTAGCTTGATTATTTTGACTGAAAAATAACATGTAGTTATCCTGTGTGATAGGCAGTCTCTCTAAAATGATTTATTAAAGATTTTTTTTAGCTCTTATGCCTTGAAATTGATGTGTGAGGAGCAAAGGTATGTGTGAGGCAGAAAGTGATTATTCTCTTTTTACATTATTTTTTTTTTATGTTTGCAAGAGGATTAAGAAATGCTGGGTAATACACAGCTTATGTTCCAACTATCCTGGCAGATGGGACTAACCAGTTTTCACAGTGAAATGAACAACCTCACAACTTGCTTATAGAATCATTTGGTGATATAAAATTTCTGACGTCTCTTGACTCCTTGTTGCCTGCCTTCAACAAAGGCAGTAAGACATCTTGATGGTGTAGAGGCTGCTTGTAAAAACTTGCTAGTGTTAATGTAAAGCAGCCAGCTTCTTCTAAAAACATGTATATTTTGTAGGTTTTTTCTTACTTAGTAAAGCTGCAAACTCCTTATTCTACCAAACTAATGTTTAATCTATTCTACATCCATTGGCTTTTGAAATTGTTTACATAAAGTTAGACCGTCTGCTGATGGCTGCAGTAGTGCCACGTCGCCTTTCAGAAAGTGAATTAAATGAAAGTTCAAGGGTGCATATTGTGCTTTTCTTCTTTCTTGACTGTAAAAGCAAAATTGGATTGATTTAAAACCCAGTAAAGCAGCCTGCAGAGTGACCAGGTGCCGAGGCTCCAGATATTTCAATTTCACATTTCTACTTCAGAAACACAAGAGTATCGTTACTAGTTCTTAAAGCGTATAGGTGATTTCGGTGCTTCTACTGTTTGGTTGGGGCTTTTTTTAGTATTATTTTCAACTCTGTAGAAAGATGATAAAATTAAGGATTTGTGCAGATTCTTAACTCTAAAACAGGCACAGGACAGGCTAGGTCAGATTTCAAGGGTGAGAGTTAAGGCTGCCAGAGGTATGATAGGGGAGACACTTAAATTTCTGCTGCCTTGTTTGAAGGCATATTCTGAAACGTTCTGTGTAAGAACAAAGTATTGTGAAGTAACATAACTCTGTTGAGTGACTCTTGCTCTGGGGACTCTATGAGTAAGACTTGCTTATTTTTCTCTTGGTTGTGCTTTGACTTCTTGGTTTAGAAGTGGGAGTTTATTGGGCATATAGTGTGTTTTGCTGATAACTTGTTAACAGGTTGGGTTGAAGCTTCAGTGGAGTCCGAACTCCTCTGACAGCTGCATTTACAGATTCTTAACTGAGCTATTTAATTTTGTGAAGTCAGTTAAGAATGGGAAATCTTTAGTCAGGTTTTCTGGCTATATAATGAGCTGAAATAGCTCAGAAAAGGTTCTGAGTACAGGACGGGGCGTGAAAGCCAACAAGGTCACAGGAAACTAAACCAGCTTATTTCATGATCGTATTCATGGCAGTTTGTGGCAATCCAGGACAGGATTGTTTGTGGTCCAGTTTCCCTCCATCTTTTTCCTTCTCAAAGCTGCTATTTCCACCTACCTCTCTGTGTTCATCTGAGAAAACTAAGCAACCAGAAAACTATTCAGTTTTTGGTTTGGCTTCTGTTCAACCTTCTAGCTGTAGACCAGATCTGAGGAAGGTTGCAAAGAGGTGTGTAGTATTGCCACAATATTGAGTTAGATAATTTTAAACATGGTAACAGTAGGTTTATTTTATGAAAAGGGCTGATACTATTTTTGTACTCTACCTATATGTGTGGTGTTGGAGATAGTGTAGTGGATTAGACAAATGTCTAGTTTGACTCCATGTGGCTGTTTCTATGCCCACACAGAGCAGTGTGAGGTGTGATTTGCTTCATTTAACTCAGTGGTTTCAACATCCTGTTACATGAGGCTGATTCTGAGACTGACAAAATGCAGGCCCGGAATAAAGCCAGTGTACAATGCCCAGTCTACTTCAGTCAGCATGGATGGTCTCATAGTAAACAGGAATTTTGTGGTAGCCTCTGTTGCTGGTTCCCTCCCTTATGAGCTCCCTTTATAGAGTATAATATGGGCTATTTCCTTTATTCAAAGGTTACTGAACTTCAAAATGTCATAGTGCCAAAAAGAATTGGATGGTGGCTCCAGATGCCAGTTGAGGCAACCATTGGTCTAGCATGTTACCTAGTGTAGTCTTTATATTCAAGAGGCAGTGCTTTCCTCTGAGTCATTGCACAAATACATTGTTCAGGGCTAAGCTAATAAAAGGAGAATGCAGTGCCTTGCAAGAGTTCTTCTGGACTCTATTTATGGACATGAATTTTTTTCATCAAGAGGATCAAAGTTTACAACTGGTCCCTGAAACCCTCTGTTGCTGGTCTTTAAACAACTTTAAAAAGTCTTAATATAGCCAAACCTCATGCATAGCATTATTGTATTTGCAGAAGGCAATTCTAGTACTTGGATTTTGCATTGAAGGGGTAGGGAATATTGTGTGTGTCTGTATTTATTTGTCTATCAGAAGCAAAAGGCAGAGTGAATCTGGTTTGAAGATTTCAGCACTGGTCCCAAATAATTATTCACTTACTGCTTCTTCAGCAAGGCAGAGTCCTGAGCTCTTCATGCTGTTTAAAATAGTTGACTTATGGTAATGTGTGTTGGCTCAATGCTGTACTTTAAGCCCAAAGTTTGCATACCTATGAAGCCAGTAATACAGAAAGTGCCTCTATTTCCTTTTGGCCCAATGGACCAACACAAAAGTTTTGATTTGTATTTATGAGTCAAAACCAGTGATTTGGAGTTGAACAGAAGGTTTTGTTTGATTTGAAATGCTCAGCTTTTGCTTGTGGCTATAAACACAGGAAATCTGGAAGCAAATGACTAGATTGACAAGACTGAATGGAAATACTTTGTGGAAATGAGGCAATTCTATCAAGAAAGAAGGTAGATCCTAGAAATCCTAGACTTCAAAGATACAAATTTCAGTGCCCCCTTTGTCGCACTTGTAAGGATGAACTTTGAAATTCTGGAGGACCATGTTATAAGAGTTTGAACCATTTAACTCTGTAGAACAAATACTCTGTAAGTGAGAAAAGATTCCTGAATATCAGCTTTTAGGGAACACCTTGCTTTTTCATCCACTATTTATTTTAGGTGAGCATAACTGCCTTAATGAAAAAGACTGAGACAAACTCATCACATACTCATCACAATATTCTGTGGTAGGGAATCTGCTCAGGTGGTGACTCCAAATGTTGGAGTGCTTCTGATGGTTTATTCCTGAGCTATAATGAGGCATCCAGTATATGTAGTGGAAGTTCTATGTATTAGAATTTTTGAACATGTCTTATCCCTAATCAAGGCAAAGCCATTTTCCCATACTGTAAATATAAAGCATATCTATCTGTCTGTCTATCTCCTCAGTGTTAAATATCCTCATAAAATTACCAAAAAATTCTTGCCACCTTTTTTTTATGTAAAGAGACCTGAGAATGTTTCCCAGGGTTGATTACAAGAATAGAGTCTTATTTATCAATTTATTTACTGTAAAACCCATGAAACTCCTAAGGAGTATTCAACATTATAGGAGATGGAAGAAGTGGGCTTTCATTCATGCATTTTTACTCAAATAGGTGTGCAGCCAAACAGAAAAGTTTGTGGTTCCCTGTACTTTCTGCTTGGCTTTAAGAAAGCTTCCATTTTGGTTTTCTTTCAGCCTACTTATTTGAGATTCTAGGAGATTAGTACTGATAGTGTTGAAGTTAAGAGATGATAGTGTCGAAGGAAAGCCCAGTCTCCTGAACTGCTCTCATTTCTCTGGGTTTCTCTCCCCATTGCTGCTTCAAGGATGCCGACATCCTGCACCTCCCCCTGCTCCCATCCTCCCTTCCTGATTTTGAGGAGAAAGACAGAATTGCTCACTCTAGAATAGATAGGAGGTGAAATTCTTCCTCTGAAAGACAGGTGGGGTTTTTATTGTTTTGGTGGGGTTTTGTTTGGTTGGTTGGGTTTTTTGTTTTGTTTTTGTATGTGTGGCTTGTATGTAGCTGGCTGCTGCCTTCCACCTCCTCTGAGAGTCTTTGCTTTGCCTTTGCTGTGCCATCAGCCGTGTCTAATTATCTGTTACTTTGTTTGTGCCATGGAGCAGCCTGTTCATCATCTCATGATCATCATTTGGCCCATGCCAAACCACCTTGCTATAGTATCATCTCTGAAGATAGAGAGGGCATGTAGGGCATGTTCATATGTATGCATAATAAGTGTTATCCTAACTTTGCATTTTGGCAGTAGTGAATGTTACTCAAAATCAGATGCTGTTTCCAAATGGATGGCATTTCCTGGAGGAGAGGTAAGAAACCAGACTGAAAGAACCCAGTGTGACAGTTTCTTATGTTTGAGTCTATGTGATCCAAGATACCTTTTCAAAGTATTTTTGAAAAATAACTTTCTTTCCATCTCCCCATGAATTCATAAAAAATTCTAAAATGAAGATACTATGTTATTATTTTTTTTTCCTTTCCAGTTGAGCAGTTGAAATAACAACCATCCACTTTATCCATCCCAGAACTGTAAAGTCATTTATAACTGAACTTATCCCATGTCTCTGTAAGGGTAAATGGTGAAAAAAGAACATATACTTCTGAATTAACTGTCAGATTATGTAGGAAGCTGACACATTTCCCCTCTCTAAGGGTATGTGTCTACTCAGCTAGAGGGAATTAGTGGCACAGTTTGGGACTAGCAATGCAAGTTTTCTTGAAATAGAGCAGAAAGCATGGTTTAGAGCATGGTCCCCTATCCTGTGCTTACCCTTCATTCTTCCCAAGCTCCAGCATAAGGTTCCAAATAGCAATAATTTCCAAAGTATACAAATATAATTATGTATAGCAAAGGCTAAATTTTACAGATGGTATATATAATTATGGATGCTTGTAATTAATAATAGTGTATGTATGTACTCATGCACACATGCACTCAGACCCCAAAGCAGTTCTCCTAAAGAGGCTTCTGTTGTAGGTTTTATTTGTCCAATGCCATTGGAACATATATTCTAAAAATGCCCCACATTTCTATGCTATGCATGGTCAACAAAACTGTCCCAAGGCCACAGAAATCTCTCCTGCAATCTACCTTGTGTACTTCCTAATGGTGCTCTCATCCAGAAATCCCTTTCCAGTAAGGTTTCTATAGACTTCTGCCTCGTGGTAAATCCACTAATATTGAAATATTGTGGTATAATCTCTGCTTAGCACTTGCAGTCTTGGGAGGTTGTGAGGGGAATTCAGCTCTTCCAGAAGTATGTGTATCTGATTTTTCTTTTACTTTCACAGTGACAGCTTGAGAGAGGAAGCAACCAGAGGCAGAAAATCTTAAACCAAATCTTTTTTCTTAGGAGAAGTACTGAAGTGCAGTTCCTGCTGCTGTTGCGTGGCCTTCAGCAGGAAGGGTCATACATCTCAGTCACAAAATGCCTTCCAGTTAAGTACTTTTCCCAGGAAAAAACACAGAGCACCTTATCCTGTGAATGTAGAGAAACAGTGCAGGGCTGATTCTGAGTGGGCTTTGATGTGGTTGTAAATGTCAGGTGTGGTTTTTCATAGAAATTCTCAGTACTTTGTAGCTTAGGGTATACTAAGGAATCGTCAGCTTTTCTTTTCATTCCTAGATCTTTTAAGAAACTCAAAGTTTAGATATTTTAAGAGCTTCCCACACTATTTATATTTTTCCCCCAAAGATATATCAGTTGCTGAGGAAGTTGTGCCTGTGGAACACAAAATAACTCAGGTTGGAAGGGACTTACAGAGGTTAGCCTTGTCAAACAACATCCTCCACAAGCAAGCGCAGATAAAAGTTGTTTTGAAAAGTGCTGCTTTAAAGACATCCTAACTACTCATAAAAAGAGAAGGAATAGGGAGAGAATTAATTAG